CTCCCGTATTGGCAGGTGGGTTCTTTACCCCTAGGGTCACCTGGGATGCCCTTGATTGTGCTGTTTTTCACTCTCTCTTGAACCACTTGCTCTGGGAATGCAGCTGCTATACTGTGAGCTGCCCTGCGGAGGGGTCCATGTGGCTAGGAGCAAAGTGAGGCCTTTGGACACACAGCCAGCCAGCAAGGAACAGAGGCCTGCCAACAGCCAGGTGGATGAGCCACATTACAGGTGGATTCTCTAGCTCGGTCAGGCCCTCAGATAATCATGGTCCCAGTTGAGAACTTGACTGAAACCTCATGAGAAACCTGTAGCTAGAACTACACATTTAAATCCTTCTCTGAACCTCAGAAACTGTGAAATACAAATGTCTGTTCATTTAAGCTGCTAAGTTTTAAGGTAATTTATTGTGCGGCAAGAGATAACTTATACATGAATGGTAATGTGGACAACCTACCCAGATAAAGCACTGAATCTTAATTGGGATTTAAACAAAAATAATCACTACATTTTAATCGGGTAATTTCATTTATAGAAATCTGTTCCAGAAACTATTGCCTACATCATTACAAATTTATACACAAAGTTATTAGGGATTATTACCTTAAGTAAAATGTCTAGTAATAGGGAATTGCTAAATAAAGTATGGTCTGTCCATTGAAAGTAATTTTAAATAACTTCTAACAGAAAATTTAAAGACTTTATACTGTAATGATACAAACAACAAAAGAATATAAAATTGTATATATATATATATATATATACACACACACACACATACAATTTTATAGTTATATTTATGTCCCAGCTTCCCTGGTAACCCAGCAATAAGGAATCTGCCTGCCAATGTAGAAGATACAGGTTCAATCCCTGGGTTGGGAAGATGCCCTGGAGAAGGAAATGACAACCCACTCCAGTATTCTGGTCTGCATAATTCCAGGGACAGAGGACCCCAGCGGGCTTCAGTACATAGGGTCACAAATTGTTGGACTGAGCAACTAAACAACAACAACAATATACACATACACAAAGACATATAGTACTTACAACTCAAAAAAAAATCCATGTGTTAAAAAAACCAGTAAGAAAGTCTGAGCTGTAGCTCCAGAGAGAGAAGTAGGTCTGTGGGTCTCTGGCAACTGCAGTCACTGTGAGTCGCATCCAGGACTTTCATTTTCATGGGCACGTGTGAGACACTCTGGAGGACTCCCAGAAATACTACGGGTAGGGCGCTTTCTGCAGAGTTCGGACTCTTACATCACCAGAGACTGACTGATCCCTAGATTCAGACACTGGTGCAGCTTCATTCCTACCCACTTGATGCTGAGATTCACCAACATTAAAGAATGCTGATGGTCAGAGGCCAAACACCCTGCCACCACTCTTGTCTTCCTTCTTCTCTCACACCCCTCATTTGACCTGTCAGCAAATCCTATTCACTACACTTCTAAGATACACTTAGAAACTGAGCACTTTCCAGCACCTTCCATCTGTTTCCAGGGCCCAGCAAAGTACCTGACACACAGTAGTTATGCAGTAATGCTTTGTTGAAAGAATGGAGTGAGTCTTATGCTCTTCATAATGTCCACAAGGCCTGGCCCCCAGTAGCTTTATGTGCTGTAATCTGGCCCACATGATCCCCTCTATTATCATCTTTGATCACAAACCCACCAGTGTCATATGTTCGAATTATAGTAAACTACTTCTAGTTTCCTAGTTTCTCACTGGGAAGCTGTTTCATTCTTCTGTGACTTCTCCAATGCTATTCCCTCAGCCTAGAAGAGATTCTTACACTTTAACAGTATAGCACGAATCATCTTAGCCAGCAAAAACTCACTCCACTCTAAATACTTCTCCCGTGTTCTTTGCCTACCTCAGCACGTGCATGTCTATCAAAGCACAAACTGCACTCTCCTGAGGTCTGCCTGTCTCCACATCCGAGCGCTAAGTTCTCTGACTTGGCCTTCTTGCTTTGGCATTCCTGAAGTGTCACGCGAGGCCTGTCTTGTGGAATGCAATAAATGCCAGCAAATCAATGAATTAAAGGACTTCTCTGTGTGTTGTGTTTGTTCACATACAGAATCACAAAACAAGAGGCACTACAAAGATATGTTCTTTCACTATAAATAGAAATGAATTATTCTTTGGCAGCAATATACTTCACACTCATCTTTAAAGGAAGGGTGAGTCTGAATATTCACTTTGAGAGCAGTTTATTTTTAACTCCTTCAGAGTAACCCAAAGACAACTAACATTTCCTCTTCTTGGCACAATCATTATCCTTCTCTTTTTTCAAAATTCCATTTATTGTGTTATGAATACATCTACCATCTTAAATTTTAAGTGTGCAATACATAATTGTTGACTACAGGTTATATAACGTTGTACAGCAGATTGCTAGAATTTATCAATCTTATTTGTGTGTGTGCTCAGTCTTAACTGACTCTTTGTGACACCGTGAACTGTAGCCCACCAGGCTCCTCTGACCATGGAATTTTACAGACAAGAATACTGGTGAGTTGCCATTTCCTTCTCCAGGGGATCCTGAAACGTTATGCCCATTGACCACACATAAGGGAAATATATTAAATGAGTATGGTCTTAATTTTATTGAAAAAAAGAACTATCAAACTTCTCTGTGTCATATATTGAACTAGATAACCACCTTCCACTTTGACTATCCCCTCCCGCATTTCTCTCTTTCTTTCTCAAGACTGGGAATCAACCAGCTGTCAGGTCTAACCAAAACTGCACTGTGAAAAGGCAAAGAATACAAGGTACTTTATTATCGTAAGACTGCAATGGGATACAAAAGTATGTGTGGGCAGAGACTGGAAAAGTAACATGAGATGGAGTTCACTGCCTATTACCAAGCAGATACTGCAACCCACACGCTGTTCAGGATGCAATTACAAAGAAGGAATGGTCCCTCTCCTGGAGGAGTCCACAGTCTCATAGCTTTTACGCAAATTGCTGTAATCTCCTTTGATAAGAAACAATGGTGCCCCTGTGTGGAGGACACCACTGTGCCGGAGGAGTTAATCCACTCAGATATCGGTGGTCCACTAGGGTCTTCGGGCCTCTAGGGAATGACCGTGGAGCATGGCAACTGCCTTATCAGTGGGAGCTAAAGTAATTATTGGAGTGGAGAAGGAAAAAGAGGTTCGTGTGCCAGAAGCAGTAGGTGTCCTCCTCACGTGGTTACCAAAAAAATCAGTGTTACTGTTTCTCACCACAGTAACTGGGAAGGTCCCATTCAAAGAGCCAGTGCCTTGAGGGCAAGACGACCATGTGGCCTGCAGGGCTGGGATGGTTCCTGGGGCCTGGCCCCTGCTCCAGGCCCCGCATTGATATCTGTTTATAGTCATCCTTCCCCATATCCAACACCTTCTCCCAGAACCAGACCCTAGAAGGGCTGGGCTACTTTACAGGCAAAAAGAAGAGATGTGAAGTTTCCAGTGACTGTCTGGGACTCAAAACACTACAGGCTTACTCTGTCTCCTTCAGAAAGGGCCAAGACCTGGGAAGCACAGGGACCTTCTGCCACTCCTGGAAAAGGAAAGGCAATACCACCACCTTTCATTCATTCTGTCTGTCCTCCACCTAGGACAGACAAGTAGAATCTCTACTTCCAGATACAGGCTTGTAAAAGTGGTAAAATGTAAAGTGTATGTTAGTTAGGAGATTTCTTTCTAAAAAATCACACAAAAAAGATATGTGTGTGTACATGAGTGTGTGTGTGTGTGTGTGTGTGTGTGTGTGTGTGTATGCACCTTTGAATCTTTTGTCTGGATCAAGAGCTTTTCCCTTCTCCCTGTGTGGCTTGACGCTGCTTTCTTCCATGTAATCATAAGCCTCCCAGTCAATTTCAGAACAGAAACTCTCCTCATCCCCCTTCCCTCATCCTGCCCTGAGGATTCAGGTTTAGAGGGTCCTTAGCACCCAAATATTCAGCAAGAAAAAGATCCTTTTTTTCCCAAAGTCTCTGGAAAGGACTCCAGGGGGATCTGCTTGATCATATTCCTGTCTCTGGGCAACGACTGTTCTCAAGAAAATGAGGTACTTAGATTGATCAGCCTGGGTCATACATTCAATGCAACACTGCCAAAGATTTGTGTAAAATGCCCACCAGGTAAGAGAGCTAACAATTCCTGAAAGGAAAAGATTTCAGTAGTCCAAAAACAAACAAACAAACAAAACCGAACAGATGTCCGTTGCACTTAGAAGGGACTAAGCAAGGTTGACTTCCAAGTTTTTCCATCTAGGTGGATGGTGACGTTGGTAGAAAATGCAGACAGGAATATTCCCATTGTAGTGATCATATCTCACTATACACAAACACAGAATCACTACATTGTACACCTGAAATGAATATGTTACATGTCAATTATATCTCAATTTAAAAAAAAAAGAAAGAAAAGGTAAATGCAAATATAGAAGCAGTTTGAGCTCATAGGCAGAGCTGTTTTTAAAATGTTGAATTTAAAGGGCCTGGAGGACATTCGAATGAGGTCATCTCTTAGAAACAAGAAGTCGGTAGCATAGCAGAAAAACGGACACTTAAATTTTTAAATGAAAATTGTTTCGAGTTAGGGTGCATCAGGGTGTGATGTGGGGAACCCACCACAATTTCTAATGGGGAAATTCTTCAGCAGAAGAACTATTTGTTGTCCAAGTTGCCTATTTTATTAGTGTCCATGTTGCCTATTTTATTAGTGTCCATACAATATCAAGCTCCGCAGAAGCCTTCCAGTTAGGACGGGGCTATCGGTGCCAGACTTTGGCTTGGGGGGCGTGCAGGCGGAGCCTACTGGCCCCGCGACCCACGGACTACAACTCCCGGCGTGCCCCGCGAGGGGGGGGCGGGATCGGAGGTGGGCGGGGCCGGGAACAGCCACCCCCGCGGGCAGTCGGGCGGGGAGATCGGGCGGCGCCGAGCTGAGGTGGCGAGACAAGAGCTCCCGGATGTGGAGAAGCTGGGGAGAAGGCGTGGGAGGAAGATGGACTCGGTGGAGAAGGGGGCCGCCACCTCCGTCTCCAACCCGCGGGGGCGACCCTCTCGGGGCCGGCCGCCGAAGCTACAGCGCAACTCCCGCGGCGGCCAGGGCCGAGGGGTGGAGAAGCCCCCGCATATGGCGGCCCTCATCCTGGCCCGGGGCGGCAGCAAGGGCATCCCCCTGAAGAACATTAAGCACCTGGCGGGGGTCCCGCTCATTGGCTGGGTCCTGCGTGCGGCCCTGGACTCGGGGGTCTTCCAGAGGTGCGCATGTGCGAGAGTGGGCGGCGCGGCCTGGGCGGGGGTCGAGAGGGGGAGCCGGGCTGCCGGAGGGGCCAGGGCTCCAGGGACTGCGGCCCCCGGAAGGGGTGCACAAGATCCAGGGTGCCTGGGCCCCGGCTGCCCGCGGGGGAGGCGGGGCTCCAGTTTCTTCCTTGTTCCGTAACTGCTAGTAGCCATGAACTTGAGACTGTTCCTGCCCCAGCCCTTGAGAATTGACACCCGTAAAAAGGGAGATTTCCTCTTCTCAAAAGTCTGCACGGCCCAGGTTGACCTCTTAGGGTAAAGGCAAGGAGGCCAGCCTTGTGAAACGTCTGCGATAATAACTCCTTTAGACGGAGGCCACTAGCTTTCCCCTGTTGCTCAGCGTCTGCTACCCACCTGGTGCTGATCGATTAAGGAGGCGTCAGGTTCATGAATGGAGTGGGATGTCAAGGCTTTTCTCATTTCCAGCTCAGCTTGGAGATCATTTTCTGACCTTTGGAAAATACTCTTAAGCCTGTTGTGAGTCAGCACAATCTAGAAAGCTGCCCACATTTGTACTTGGGTGCGAGACACTGGAAAAGCGTACCGCGGGGCTGTTTGATGAAATGCTTCTAAAAGATTTGATCATACCTTTGGAACCTCGTTTGCCCTAAGGACGATTTTAATTGTGCATCATTTAAGAGACATGGCCATATGCCATGTTAGTTAGGAGTTATGTCATTCATAAAAGGGAGGAGGCTTTCTGTGCCAAGAATGAATTTACACATGGTAATTTCAACCTAATTGTGCTTGAATTTGTTCCCCGTGAAAAGTAAATTATCTTCACCTTTTGATTTTCAAGTTTTGGTTTTTAAAGAGATGGCTGTCTCTGGAGCATATTAATTACATACATTAATATGTGGATAAATGATTTTCATTTAACTGAACATGTTTACAAGGGAGATACCAAAATAGTATAAATTTACTAATTTTCTTGATGTTTTTATCCAAAGGAAGTCTTGGGTGGTGCTGGGTGAATAGGAGCCTGCACACAAAGATATTAATAACAGTAATGTAACAGGAAGTGTGCAGAGGAGAGATAGGGAAAGACTTGGGGATTTGGTTCAATTCAGTAAACACTGAGGCTGAGTTTCTGCCATACACATCCAAGGGGATTACAAGATGACTGTGACGTGGTTCTTTCCCTGTGAAACTCACAGACTTTGGGACATTTTTACCTCCTTACAAAAGGTACACACTGGAAAACAAAAAAGGATCGAGAGAAGGTGCATCTAAGTTAGTAGTGATGTAATAAAACCCTATTTCTGTGACATAAACCAAAGATCAAAATCACATTCTTAATAGATTTGAGAACAGAACTCCTTTACAACTCTGATTGCATATGTCAGGAAACCCTTTTCAAACTGGCTTAACCTAAAAAAAGTAGGGTGTGTTTGAGATACAAATTCAAGAGCAAAAATGATTCATTCATTCTGCAAATATTTGTTGACTACCTACTATGTGATAGGCACTGTTATGTGTACTTAACCAGAAGTTTAGCAGTAGGGTCCATCCATAGACGGAGCTGCCATTATAATAGGGAGAAGATAGTTAATATACTGTACTGTATCAGGTAGTAATTCATATTTTTAAGAAAAAGTAAGGGGATGGTGCATTTGATCACCATAATCCTCTGTTTCTTGGTTCCTCTAAGGCTCTCCCTTTTATGGTATGGGGGTGGTTTTGCTGAAAACTGCAAAACTTTCTACACATAACAACTCTCTCCAAGCCTCTGTGGTCAACCAAACTCCATCATGGTTTCTAATGGCTTAAAGGCCTTGTTCTTAGGATCATTCCAGCCCCATAAAAGGAGTGCTCAATGCTGCCAGGAGGATTTACCTTCTTTCTGGCAGATAGCCCCTATACACCCTCCTTCAACAGTTAATTTAGGAAGCTTGTGATTATCCATTCATTCTCTTCCCTTTGAGGTCTAATCTACCACCCCAAAGGGGTAGGTTTGAATTTAATTGACTTGTTCTGAAGCTGTAGTCAGTTTGGAGCAGCCTTCCTGCTTCTCACCTTCTACTTTCATCAGAAATTCTATCTACCCTGTGAAGGAATTGGAGAAAACTGTAGCTCACCTGATTTGTATTTCAGGTCTGGAGATTACTTTGTCCAAAATCATTTTGACTTAATTGAGTTTCTAGCCTTCTTAGAATCAAAGCTAATAATACTTTCAAGGTTGCTAACTTTGCCCATTAACTTACATAGTTAACTGTCAAGAAAATATTGCTGAGATACTATTTTCATTTAGTAAAAAGTCATTGTGAGAGCTAAGTTTGTAAAAGCTTGGTTTTCAACAGTGGTTGAATGCTGTGTAAGTGAATTGATTTTTTTACATGTTGCCTAATATACTTGTAAAAAATAAACACAAGTGTTGGTTTCACTTTTAGGGTGTGGATTTATGATTAATGAAAGGCCTGGGCTGTGTTGTCCTTGAAATGGTAATTTATGATTTGAAGTTTCTGTTATAGGGATCATGGTTGATATTCCTGTTCATCCTGTTAGATGTAGTATGTATTCATTTGAGGCTAAAGCCATTGGCATTCCACTTTGATGTTTACTTTATACTTGATTTTAAATTTTATTAAAAAGGCCCATTTGTTCATTTGCTCATCCTTTTCTCTTGCACTTGCTAATGTAATGATGCCCCTTAGCTGAGTGGAAATGATTGACTTCCTTATGATGATGTAATAAATGAACATTGTATTTTAAGTGTACATGTAGGATGTTGTTTTCATATTCATAGTGCCATTGCCTTACATAATACATATAAATTAAACGTTTGGACCTTTGAAGGTCTGAAAGCAAAACTTCAGTTTTCCTTCAAACAGAGCTAGGGTGAGGATTAAATGAGACTGTCAACTGTTCCTTTATCACCATTCCTGTTATTTTCAATAGCTATTACTTACTAAACATTCTATATTGTGGTTTAGATTGATTTTTCATAACAACCATATTTGGTAATTGCTGTCATTGTCATCTCTGTTTTAGTGAACATTTACGCTTAGGGAGATTTGGCCTTGGGTCATATAACTAGCTTGTGGTAGAGCCAAGACTTAAAGCCCTTCCTTCAGAGTCCATGCTCTTAACCATTTACTGTTTCATTCATTCAGCAAGTATATATTGAGCACCTGTTATATAACAGGCACTATAAAAATACTTTGTAAAAAGTAAAGCATTATAGAAAGGTCAGTTATTGCTTCCTGGCCATTCTCTATTTCTGCTAGTAGGCTGAGAATTTCTCATGTCTGGATTTTGCATCCCTGGTGTCCAGGGAAGGGCCTAAAACAGACAACGCAGTCAGGAGTCATTTCCATTTCATGAAAGAAGGAATGAATGAATAATGAAAGAAGAAACATAGGCAAACCTCCGTTTTTATTTACCTTTAAGCATTTCCAAAAGATCACTGAATCCTGAGGTGTTGAATGTTTATTACGGTAAAGATCAGGATATTAAAGTAAATGGCTTCAGTAATTTATTTCAGTTAGTGATTTAACTAGATGTCAAAAGACTGGTCTCTTTTACTGTTTACTTTTTACTTTATTACCATCACCACCCTCCTTTTATCCTCTCTTTAAAAAATTTACTGAGTTTTCATTGGTACTTCAGTGTGTTGTATACCTTTGTGACATTTTCTAGTAAAAAACTTATCCCAAAACTATTTTCTATTTTGCAGTGGAGGGAAATGAGGGCTTCTGTGTTCTGCCTTTTGCAGAATGACATGAGTAGATACGGCACACTTGACCTCTAGCCAATGGCTCATCTTGTTTATTAGGCCTCCTTTGAAAAAAATTAAGGTGCAGGATGGGGGTTTATTGACTTTATCTCTAGGTTTAAATCTTCCTTCTGCCAATAGTAAAGGGAATTTCTTAAATCTAGAGCTGTTAGGAATTTTTCTTGAGTTTCTTTCTTTTCACTCTTGACAGTTGAGCATAGATGTTTGAAACATGCAGTTTCTCTTTCATTCAGTAGATATTGAATGAAAGGAGTGAAAGAAATACAGTTGACCCTTGAATGATATGAGGATTGGGGTGCCAACTCCCCTCCTCAGCCAGGGCAGTCAGAAGTCCCAGATCAGCTTTTGATCTCCAAGAACTTAACTACTAGTACCCTACTGTTGACCAAACCCTTCCTAATATCATAAACACTTTTTTTGTTTTTTTTTTTATTTTAAGTCTATCCTGGTGGCTCAGATGATAAAGAATCTTCCAGCAATGCAGGAGACTCGGGTTTGATCCCAGGGTTGAGAAGATCCCCTGGAGAAGGGAATGGCTACCCATTCCAGTATTGTTGCCTGCAGAATTCCACGGATAGAGGAGCCTGGCAGGCTACAGTTCATGGAGTCATAAAAAGTCAGACACAACTGAGCATCCGACTTTTTAAATTTTTTTTTTTAATTGAAGGAAAAATTCTTTAACTTCTGTAGTGCTTTACAGTTTTCAAAAGTTTTACACACATGATTTCATGTAATCTGATTTTTTTCTCCCTACCCCTATATTGGCCCTCCCTCTTTCCCTCTCCCCACTGGTAACCACTAGTTCTCTATATCTGAGACACATTATGCTTTATTTAGTTTTATTTATTTTCATTTTTTATTGCCACATTTTATATATTTATTATATAGTATGTTACAGTAAAGCAAGCTAGAGAAAAGAAAATGTTATCAAGGAAATCATAAGGAAGACAAAATACATTTACAGTACTTAGCTATATTGATATCACAATTTTACTTTGTTTACAAGATGAATCGTCTGTCAGTACCTACATCAGTATTGTCTTATATGATACAAAACACCGTAGATGTTATATATGTTACTAACACTGAACATCAAAGATGAAAAGATATTGTGAAAACGAAATTCATGTTTATCTACAGGTATGATGACTTAGGCGTTGATAACAAAGAAGCAGCTATATGATTGCTTTGTGGTAGTCTAGGGCTTCCCTGGTGGCTCAGTGGTGAAGAACCCAGCTGCTAATCCTGGAGACTAGAGTTCGGTCCCTGGGTCAAAAAGATCCCTTGGAGAAGGAAATGGCAACCCGCTGCAATATTCTTGCCTGGGAAATCCCATGGACAGAGTTGTCTGGCAGGCTACAGTCCTTGGGGTCACAAAGAATTGGACAGGACTTAGCAACTAAACAATAATAATGGTGGTCTATATTAATCAGTATGATTGCTTCATGGTAGCCTAGCCCACACACACTAATGAATGAATCGTTATAAAAATTTTATGGTATACAGTATTACAGTCATATTCATAGTACAGTGTCAGAAACATTGTTCCATGTTTTAAAAGCCAAAAGTGCAACATTATTGAAAGTGAAAGTGAAGTAGCTCAGTCGTGTCCGACTCTTTGTGACCTCAGGCTTCTCCGTCCATGGGATTTTCCAGGCAGAGTACTGGAGTGGGTTGCCATTTCCTTCTCCAGGAGATCTTCCCATCTCAGGGATTGAACCTGGGTCTCCCTCATTGTAGGCAGATGCTGCAACATTATTAGCTTTATATTAAGTATCATTCATCTTATACCTATGTGAAGGTAGACTATTATCTACATGAAAGTAAAGTAAAGTGAAAGACTCAGTCATGTCTACTCTTTGTGACCCCATGGACTGTAGCCTGCCAGGCTCCTCTGTCCACAGAATTCTCCAGTCAGGCATACTAGAGTGGGTTGCCATTTCCTTCTTCAGTGGATCTTCCTGACCCAGGGATCAAACCCAGGTCTCCTGCGTTGTGGGCACATTCTTTACTATCTGAGCCACCAGGGAAACCCATTATCTACATACGTTTCATGCATTCATAGCATACCTAACTTTATTTTTTCTGATAGTACTAGGCTGCACAGTTTGCAATTTAGTTCACACTGTTACAGATCTCCTTAAATTTTCCCCATACATTTATTGAAAAAAATTCACACAGTTCAAAACTGTGTTGGTTAAGGATCAACTGTATGTGCATATACAAAAGAAGGCATTCAGAAGTCTTTGTGGAATGTCAGTCTAAAAGCATTGTGGCTAGAGTAAAACATTCTGTTTCTAGCAATGGAAATTTATAAAGGTTGAGAAAACTTCAGTAGAGACTAGTGTGCATCTCCCAAATAATGTTTTATATTTTACTGTGAGCTATCACCTTACAAAGTGCAAAAGGTCAGCTCTGTAAGGTGTGGTTAATAGAGCTGTTACACTAAGCTCTCCAGAGCCAGTCAAGTCATTTTCGCCACGACTTTGATTGTTATTTGTGGCTTCACCCAGTTGATTCTGTGTTCAGATATTTATGTACCCGTTGTTAGTTGCCCCCATCCCGCCCAAAAAGGAGTTGGCTTGTCTGACTGTTTTGGGCATATGTCTTTACTAAGCTTGAAACTCAGCCTTGCGATTTGGCTAAGACACATCCATTTTTTTTCTCAGCAGGCATATTAACTATACAATGTTTTGGATTTTGATGGGAAAAAAGAAATAGTATCTTCTTTATTTCCTTTAGATTTGAACTTCCAGTGTTACTAGTATTTTTAATAAACCATTATCCTTAAAAATATCCATTTTTTCTAATTTTATAAAATATCTAGGGCTGTGTAAACAATATGTATATAAATGTTATATATAATATAAATACAAATATTACATCTGGGACCACATTTATATTTCAAGCATTTAAAAATGTGATCTCCATAGAAAATTCTTTATTTTTCTCTAAATTTTATATTGCTTTGAATCTGTAACATTATTTTGATGGTACAAAAACTATTCTAACATATAAACTGTATTTTGGGGGTTGCAGAGCTCCTTTTTATCTTTTTTTTTTTTTTTTTTTTAGTGATTTGGCTTTTTTTTTTTAATATCTGTACAGTGTATGGGTTTCAACAGACCATGATGAAATTGAGAATGTGGCCAAACAGTTTGGTGCACAAGTTCACCGAAGAAGTTCTGAAGCTTCAAAAGACAGTTCTACCTCACTAGATGCCATCATAGAATTTCTTAATTATCACAATGGTATGAATTTGACTAATAGTTTATTCAAAATTTTATGTAATTTCCAACTTGTTACTCATTTCACAAGACTTGTTTAACATTTGAATTTAGATCTTAGTATTACTTGCTTGCAAAGAACTTCATTTTGATGTTCTTTTCATTTGTCTTGTCTTTTTAAGAGGTTGACATTGTAGGAAATATTCAAGCTACTTCTCCATGTTTACATCCTACTGATCTTCAAAAAGTTGCAGAAATGATTCGAGAAGAAGGATACGATTCTGTTTTCTCTGTTGTGAGACGGCATCAGTTTCGATGGGGTGAAATTCAGAAAGGAGGTAATTTGTTGCATTGATTTTTATTTTAGCTCATCTTATGGAAAATTAATTTTTTATGTAAATATTCTTTAGGAGTAGGAGAGTTAAAAAGGGAGCAGTAAAATAGAACATGGGATTTTTATCACTATAGTAGATAATAACATTTATAATCAGTTCTGAATCTTGTGATTGTTGAGACAAAACAACAGAAACCAAGTTAATTCTCTTTCTTTTTACAAAGGATTATTTTAGCCCTCTATTTGTATTTTGAGGCAAATATGCCATTTTTCTACAACAGATACTTTTGTGTTGTTCTACCTATGAATCATATAGAATGGTGGGAATAGAAGTCTTCCACCAAAAAGTTCCAGAGAACCTCAAGAATGAATCTGTAGAATTGCTTCGCAAAGTTCACAACTTCTTATGCCAAAAGAGTACCGTAACATTTAGTTAGAGCCTTATTTCTCTCCAGACAAACTAGCAAAATATGTCACAAAGAACAGAATTACCAACAAATAGGTAAATGAAACATACATGAAGAAAGGCAGTATGATTTCTGTTCAGTCCTGACATTTGTTGAGGGTAGGAAGACTGGGCCAATTGTCTGTAACGTGTGTTTGATTTAAAGGAGATAGTAAAGAAGATGCAGTAAAAATGGAGAAGGTCCACAAAAGAGCTATTAAGATAAGAAGATAAAGTTATGGGCAGAAAATGATTTTCAGTCTCTAAATGTGAATGTCATCAAAATTAATAAAATATATCAATGACTATTGATTTCATTCAGTAAACAATTGTTGAATATCTTCTCTGTAGCAAATTCATTGTTTTATATATATAATATTTTGAACTTATTCACTAAATATCAAGGGGCTTCCCTCGTAGCTCAGTCAGTGAAGAATCTGCCTGCAGTGCAGGAGACCCAAGTTCAATTCCTGGGTCAGGAAGATCCCCTGGAGAAGGAAATGTCAACCTACTCCAGTATTCTTGCCTGGACAGTCCCATGGACAGAGGAGCCTGACAGGCTGCAGTCCATGGGGTCGCAAGAGTCAGACACGACTTAGTGACTAAACCACCACCACTAAATATCAAAAATAAAATATAGGAAGAATTAAAGCTTGAAAAGCACACTTTTGAATAAGTCAAGGAAACCCAGTGTTAAACTGAATGTTGAGCTTTATATGATAAAGTTTTATATGATTAAAGTTAAAAAGGGTTGGAAAATACCTACACATATCAACAAATACAAATTTGCAAAAAGTTTAGCGAAAAGGCAAGGGAATTCCAGTATGTACTATAGTATGCTATTAATAAAATGTACATAGGTTTGACTCTGCCAGCCCCCAGGTTGCATTTCTAGGAAAGAAATTATAGAGAAGTATGCCAATAATGGAGAGAAAAAATCCACTTAAATACCCTGCAAAACTAGATTATCCATAAAATCAAATACTTTACAACCATTAAGAACAGTACTATAATATGTACTCTGTGACATAGTCAGATGTCACAAGTTTTTCACTTTAGAATTAAGCAAGTATTAATGTATTTGTCAGGTGTCTCCTCTATGCATGCTTGGATCTGGCTGCTGGGACTTACTGCTTACAGAGTGTATGGTCTAATGATGTCAGCATTTTAAATATCAGTAATGAAATGTTATTAAAATACATAATAACTATAAACCGTGTATGAGATACATATTTACTAGGACAGTTCAGGCCTAAAAAGAAAAGTATAAGGATACTATGGGAGGGTGTGATCTTGGGACTTCAGGAACAGCCTTGGAATCACATGTGAAGATTCAGTGGAGAAAAATACTATAGGACCTTTAATAGAAAGGCTTCATTTATTATATCATGGTATAATTAATGTTGGTATTGTTTGGCCTTCATTATTACTAATGATAATAAACATAATTTATTGTTATGTATATTTTATATTAGTTTTAAAATTACTGGGAAGAATGTTTCATACATTATATAAGCATTTCCCATCAATATGTAAGGTTCAGTAATTTAATGAGGAAATAGTCATTTTTCAGTAACTCCATAAGTCATTTTTCAGTAATTCCATAAATGTTTCTCAACCACATTAGATAAATAATACACACATTGTATTTCTATAGAAGCACATAGTGTGCAATAGATTTAAAGGGCTCAAATATTGAATATCAGTATTTTATGACAAGTTCAGTTCTTTGGCAACTAAGGTTGCTTTTATGTCCTCCCAAAGCATTATATTTGTATGAATCCCTTAAAACCTTAATTATTCAGGATTTCTCCATAAGATACTTTATTTTCCTCTTATTATTATTATTATTGAAAGGCAAAGATAAATCATCAGAATTATTTATCAGAATTATTATCAATATATCATCTAAGAGTTGTTATCAGAGGTTTTGTTCCTTTAAAAAAATCTTCTAAATTGTTTATTTAGAAACAGAAATATTCTACATTTTGAGTTTATTTTTGTTTGCTTTTTTAAGAAAATTACTGAATGAACTATTTAAGTGTTCAGAGTACCTGGGACTTATTGTAGCTTTTTGCCTTTAGTTCGTGAAATGACTGAGCCTCTGAATTTGAATCCAGCTAAACGACCTCGTCGACAAGACTGGGATGGAGAATTATATGAAAATGGCTCGTTTTATTTTGCTAAAAGACATTTGATAGAGATGGGTTACTTACAGGTTTGTGCTCTCGTTTTGGAAAAAATCTTTTAAACCCTTTTGTGTATGTACTTTGAGTTCTAAGAAAAGCAGTACGGCAGTGTTCATAAAGGAAAGTGTCAACCCCGAGAGGAAAAGGAGTAACTGACAAGATTTACCATCTGAGGCATTTATCTGGCACACTTACCCCAAACTGATCTGGGATACATTCAGTGAATATGCGACGGATTCTGCTACAGTTCTAACATTAAGATAAGAAATCAACTATTGAGTATTCTACTTATGTTGTGGTATTCATATTATTTCATTCAAAACTCTGTTTTTAATCCATGGTTGTATTATTGTCAAGTTGTGGTTGTACAGTTAAATAATCTTTACGGCTTTTAAAAGAGACCAAAAAAAAAAAAAAAATGCAGCAGTATAATAGAGGCAAAAGAGCAGCAACCTGGGCATCAGGAAAACCAGATTATAGTAATATCTCTATCTGTAACTACTTAACCTTGAATATATCATTTTATCTGTTCCGAATCTTAGTGCTCTCCTTTTACAATAAGTGCTCTCATTTTATAATAAGTGGGTTGGATGCCTCTCTCAGCTTTAGAGCTTACATGGTCATATCCTATACTATTTGTTCATTTTAGTTATAGGTATTGTTGATTCAACACCTACTGTTGATCATATGAAATACTACATAGGTTATCTCATATAATGAAATAAAGTGCATGTTCCTAGTTTTGTTTCAGAGGAAGAATGGCAGCTCTGAAAAATGAAGTCATTGGCTCAGAGCAAAAACAAGTTGTAAATGGCATTGTTAGGATTTTAATTCAGATCCTTATGTTACTCAAAAAATAGCATTTTAAAACCCCCAAAATACTGTTTATAGTAAAAATTCTAATGTGACTCATTCTCTAAGGGGAAGAAATTTTCCAGTCTTCTGGTCAGTAGGCAAACCGTAGGCTTTGACATCTATAGGTACAGCTCTCCCTATGCTCTTTGCTAAGGGGGACTGTAATTTGGCCCCTTCCTAAGCGTGGAGAAAAATAGAAGTTCCTCATTGTAACAAGATTTCTAAAGAGACTGACAACTGTGAAAAATGTAAATTTCCAGCAATTCATCTTGACTTTTCAGTGATTACAATCATAAGAAGTGCCTCAACCTTCTTGCCCTATGCATACCCCAGGATCATGACGCTCATTGCTCTTATTTTGCCCACATGTGATCCATTCAGTTATTGTTGACTCCTGTCTGTACCTCAGGGATCAGTTCTGTGCAATAGATATTACAGTTCCTTTTCCTCCCCAGTCTGACCCCTATTGCAAATAGGAACAGAAGTTCCCAAAATACTTACACTGCTACTTTTGGATGATGATGGGAGAGACTTACCAAAACAAAGGGGATACAACTAAGGATTCTCAGAAAATTCCTTGTGGTCAGAACCCTGGAGGATATGTATTATTTCTACTCTCATTCAATGTTAAAATAGAATTCTGAAAAATGGAAACTTGCACTGTGTAGGTAGCATTTTAAAAGGGGTAAGAAGTATATGAAGCTCTCCCCTCCAAAAGAAATTGCTTGTTGTATGTCTGATATTGTTGGGTTGTTCATTTTTCTTAGTACTGTAGCAGTGAATTCATTGTTCTGAACAATGAATTTTAATAAATTGTTTTATTAAATAAAATTTAATAAATTTTAATAAATTTTAATAAAATTTTAACAAATTTTAATAAATTTGTTGATAAGCGTGAACGCGTGTTGACAACAGTCCTCATGGCGCTTGTAATGTGTTTAGGGTGGGAAGATGGCGTACTATGAGATGAGAGCCGAGCACAGTGTGGACATCGATGTGGACATTGATTGGCCTATTGCAGAACAAAGAGTATTAAGGTGAAAAAAAGACCTCATAGCCTTTGCACTAGATCATAAATTATTTTTAGTAGATCCATTTAAATTCACTTTTAGACACTGATTTCTGATCCTCCAAACATCTTTGAATCTTTCGTAATATTTTGCTTATGTGAGGAAGACATATACATAAAATTTGCCTATAGATAGCTTATTCAGTAGCTTCAGAACCACATAGTTTGGTTGGACCACACTTGAAGTTCTTGCACTATAAGCTGAAGTCTGTGTGAAGTAACTTGAAAAGGCAATGTTTGAATAATTGGATGGGAATGAATTATCAAGTTTATTGGTGTTAGCCAGATGAGAGGGAGTGATTAGTTGCACACTTGGATTCAAAGGTCTGTTTTGGTTTCTTTTAGATACGGTTATTTTGGCAAAGAGAAACTGAAGGAGATAAAACTTTTTGTTTGCAATATTGATGGATGTCTCACCAATGGCCACATTTATGTATCAGGAGACCAAAAAGAAATAATATCTTATGATATAAAAGATGCTATTGGGATAAGTTTATTAAAGAAAAGTGGTATTGAGGTATGTGCCCCCTGAACATAGCAATGTTTTTCAAGATTGTAATATAGGGTCAAGGTATATGTGACTGAAATAAGAGATTTACATTTTTAGTATTATCAATTAAAGTGTCTCAAATTTAGCCTTGACATGCCTAGAAAATTACGCTGTTTTTACTTTTAGGTGAATAGAATTAGGAATCTATCAACAAATAGATTTCTTGTTTATTTAATGAATGTGAACATATTATTTTAAATAGGTGCTACCTAATATTTCCCATATTATTTTGCAACCAGAAAGATTTCATAGAAAATAGGTGTCAGCATTTGGAAGAAAGCAAATGTCAGATGGATTTTTTTTTAAATGTAGCTTATTTTTGTGGTCCTTTGGACTGCAAAGAGATCCAGCCAGTCCATCCTAAAGGAAATCAGTCCTGAATATTCATTGGAAGGACTGATGCTGAAGCTGAAACTCCAATACTTTGGCCACCTGATGCGAAGAGCTGACTCAGTGGAAAAGACCCTGATGCCAGGAAGGATTGAAGGCGGGAGGAGAAGGGGATGACAGAAGATGAGATGGTTGGATGGCATCACCGACTCAATGGACATGAGCTTGAGTAAACTCAGGGAGTTGGTGATGGACAGGGAGGCCTGATGTGCTGGAGTCCATGGAGTCATAGTCAGACATGACTGAGTAACTGAACTGAACTGAACTGCTTCTTACAATTGAATATTTTAATTCAAAGTAACTATTTATTTGTATTTTCAAAAATGAAGTTTAAGATGATTTATTATGGTTCATTAGAGATCTTAAATACATGTTCCTGAGCAGGTCAAAAGACAAGTTATAGACTTTCCTCTGAATAAAATGAATTAAAGGGGAATCTTAGATTGCTAATAGACAATGTATGTTTTATTTTTTTACCTGTAAAGAGATTACTTTCCACTGTGGAGAACAGTCTTTCACCTTTATTGGACTACTCGAAATAAAATCTGCTGAAACTTCATCATTTTAAAATAAGTTAGTTGATTTTTCTTAACTAGTCCTTCAAAGGACTACTCACTTGTGATTTGTATTATTTAAAAGGTATTATTTTATTGTGAGTGATGTCTGTTTTCTCACTTTGCCTTTTATTTTTTAGGTGAGGTTAATCTCAGAAAGGGCCTGTTCAAAGCAGACCCTCTCCTCCTTAAAACTGGATTGCAAAATGGAAGTCAATGTGCCAGATAAGCTTGCGGTTGTAGATGAATGGAGAAAAGAAATGGGCCTGTGCTGGAAAGAAGTGGCATATCTTGGTTGGTATCCTTCTTTTCAGCCATAATAATGGAAAGCCATAATTATGCAAAGAGATACTTTAATATTTATTATCTTTCACTGAAAACAACTCAAATTTCCATACATTTAATAATTAAAATTTTCAGTAGATACATGTAGAACAAATTTAAAGTAAACACTCTTAACCAACATTTTATTAGTAGTATTTGGTCTATATTATAGTAATAGTTATATTCAGAAAGGTGAATGTTAGGTCCTGGGGGTTTCTGAAATTTATCCAATCAAAGGAAAGATAAGAGAGGGAGGTAGAGAGACTAAAAGCAAGGCAGGGAGCAGGATATATTTAGGTCAGTGTGATGATAATTATTTATCAAGCAGCATATAAATCAGAGCTATTAAAGGGAGACTGAAGATGTATATCAACAAAATGCAATATGTGGACCTTTTTTGATTTCTGATTCAAATAAATCAACTGAAAAGACAGTTTTGAGACAGCTGAGGATGTTTGAGTGTGTACTAGGTTATTAGATGATAGTAAGGAATTACTGTTGATTTTGTTAGTTGGATGATAATGTGTCACTTTCTTAAAAATATGTATTATAGGGAGGTGGTGAAGTGTTTATGGCTTAAGTATGTTGTCTGGGAATTCCTTCTCCCTTTCCTTCAAAAAACTTCACAGGGAATGGATAAAAATATTGATAAATAAGGCAAAACATTAATAATTATTCCACATAAATTTGGGGTTCTTGCTTATTGGAAATTTTCCTTCATAAAAAAGTTTAAATAATTATAATTTATATGTAGAATTTCTAGTACCTGTAATAGGCATGGCACACAGAGAGGATACTCCATTCTCCTCTAATTGATAAGCATTTATGTTGAATTGCTTAAGAAAAAACACTAGACCTCAAGTATATACTATTCATAGAAATACTTTAACTCATTTTGTTCCATCTGATCTGTAGCATTCTTATATGCAGTGTCTGAAGTTGCCAGAACTGTTTATTGACTGCTCTTTGCATTATTTAGAAAGAATATTCCTTATCTCTTTAAATATTCAACCAGTGTTTCTTCGACTTAATAGGAAATGAAGTGTCTGATGAGGAGTGCTTGAAGAAAGTGGGCCTCAGCGGTGTTCCCGCTGATGCTTGTGCCGCTGCCCAGAAGGCTGTTGGATATATTTGCAAAAGCAGTGGAGGCCGTGGTGCCCTCCGAGAGTTTGCAGAGCACATTTTCCTACTTATGGAAAACGTTATCAACTCGTGCCAAAAGTAGAAAGTAGTGTTACGTTGGAAAAGAACATATGCAGCCTTCGTCAGCTGTTTTAACTTTTATTTTTGATTAACTACAATTCCATGCTGTAATGTTAACAGAGTGTGATTTAATTTGTGATCTGTCTAATATCTTTTAAAGCACTCAAACTCTCACTCTGAAACCTTCTATGAAATAACTGTGCTCTACTTTTCCTCTTTATGTGGAATCATTATTTAGAGATTGATTACAGTCTTTCTCAGATTTTTAGTCAATGCAAGTAAGAACATCATCAAAATTGACTTTGTATCGTACTCTGTAAAGTTGTGTATTTGTGTGCTTTTAATGATGCTGAAACTTTATTTATTTGGGGATAGTTTGTCTGGTAAGACATGCCCTTCTATTAATTAATAAAATTACATTTCACAAACTTGATGAAAACTGCCTTATCGTTTTAGAAGAGATTTACCAAACATTGCCCGATTTCCTTTAGACACTGACAGTGCAATCGGTGAAAGAAACAAGCCACCAAATAGCAGCTGTGGAGCATCCTGCTGTCCTTCATGTATGGATACAGACAGCACATCCATACAAACAGAGATGTCTGGGTGAATATGTGTACTGTGAAGGTTATATATTGATTTGTAGTAAATCATTTGCAATTACCTCTGAGGTCATGGTGATTTTGTATACTAAATTTGGCTATTATTACAATTTTACAGCCACCACAAATCACTCTCCTACCTGGTTAGATTCCAAGAATGGGGCATGAGCTCACACATGTGGACCCTTACCTAATAAACATTAACCATTTCCTGTAGAACATTTTCATCTATTTCCACTATAAAAAGAGTTCAGGTAAAACGCTAGCAAGAAGCATGCCACTCATACTGTGCTATATAGGAAGTTGTTTCTCTGTCAGGGCTGAGTGAACCTGTATAGTTCACAGACGGCCCCTATAGGCCAGACATAGAAAGTGAAGTCCCTCAGTCGTGTCCAACTCTTTGCAGCCCCATGGACTGTAGCCCACCAGACTCCTCCCTACATGGGATTCTCCAGGCAAGAGTACAGGAGTGGGTTGCCAATTCCTTCTCCAGGGGATCTTCCCAACTCAGGGATCGCACTGGGGTCTCCCACATTCCAGGCAGACACTTTAACCTCTGAGCCACCAGGGAAGCACCATAGGCCAGACATAAGTTAGAAGGAAAAAGGATCCTCTTCTACGTTAATTTCCTTAACATCTTCTCCTGGTTTTACTCCCATCTTTCTTGCTTTCCTGCAGCAACTTCTTTTCTCCAGTCCCCTTAAATTTGCACATTCCCAAAGGTTCTTACCCCTATTCTTGTTCTTCCCATAGACCACATCTCTATTCAAAGTTTCAGCTATAGACTCCATGTGGATGACTCCAAAATCTAACGACTCTAAAATCTAATGTCCATTGTGAGTTCTGGTTGCATTTCAGATTCTTCATATTATAGGCCAGACACCTGTACCTCATCTCCCAAAGGTCTTATTTTATCATTGGGACATATGATGTCCCAAACAAGCCTTCCTCAGTTTCTCCATTTCTAGTCAGACACTAAATCTTGAGCTTGACACTACAGCCCAGTGTCCTTTCAGTTTATCTAATACTATTTGCTAGATTGATTATATATTTGCTGTTATCCTTTACAAACTGGATATCACAGAATGTGATCACACATGTCCTAGTCCAAATGTACTCTGGACATGTAATATTTCCAGCTTTGGTTCCTACTAATCCTTGTCAGTCCCTCCACCCCAATCAAGCTATTCTATGTAATTCTCCAACAATACCTCTTTTAGCCTATTCTCAAGCCCTACCTTCTAATCACCAAATGAGTTACTCGTTCCTACAAAAACTCCTGCCAAAATATCTCCCATAAATACCATGTGTGAGTATAGATTATACTGGAGTCTTTGCTTCATTTCCATTACCCAAAGCCAAATACGAGGAGACCTTCAGTCCTCATTGTGACTTACTTTCTGTGCGCCCGGGAGTAGGGAATCTTACTCAAGAAAATATATGTTCAGCACTGACATGTTAAAAAACTTAGAAGTTGCCAACTCCTTCCTTATAAGATGGGCTTCCCTGGTGGCTCAGATGGTAAAGAATCTGCCCGCAATGCGGGTGACCTTGTTCAATCCTTGGGAGGATCTCCTGGAGAAGGAAATGGCTATCCACTCCAGTACTCTTGCCTGGAGAATTCCATGGACAAAGGAGCCTGACGGGCTATAGTCCATGGGGTCGCAAAGAGTCAGACACTGAGCCACTAACACTTTCACTTTCCTCATAAGACAAACTGACCAAACAAAATCAATGCCTTTTCTTAGGCTTCTCAAGAGAACTGAGATAGGACAAACATCCAGAATCTGAAGAGGTATACACACCTGATAATGGTTTGCCTGGAGCAAAAGCTGCTGGATGCCATAAATGAACAGGAACAGTTAACTACTAATTTAGAAAGCTGTTGGAGGTTGTGTGAACCAATGTGAGATAGTAGTCAATGGAGATTGTAATCATGATGAGTGGGAGTGTAGGACACACTTTCCCTGCAGAAATCACAGAACGGGTCTGAGGATTTGGGAAGAATCCCCATGTGGCCCTGATAGGAGAATAGCCATTGTGAAACCCTTTCTCCCTAGGAAAGGGCTATTCCAGTAGGAAGGACTTCTGCCCCAGAGAGCAATACTAAATGACAGGGAGAAGGGAACTCTGCACCACTCCAACTTTTCTGTGTCATCTAAGGGGGGGAACTCTCCCTTAGTCAACAGGGGAGATAACATCAAGGAAACATAGTGAATGCTGCAGGCAGAAAGAAAGTAAAAGCAGGAGGAAGAAAGCTATATACCACGTAGGAGAGACAAACACTTGTGAAGGCCAAGAGAGAGAGCCAATATTCCCGAGAGCCAACTAAAAGATCAAGACTTCGAAGATTTTAGAATGTTCTCTGTCTTCCATACCCTATGCCACACACCAACATATTGCTAGCATAGTAACGGTGGATTACACATTTAAAAGGTACAAGACACAGATGTCCTCTGAGAAGCAATACAAAAGGAAGTCTCCAAACTAAATACAAGGACATCGGATGAATTTGAGGTCTCTGATACCTCTTGCTACAAGAAACAGCCCAATTCCTAGCAAGATTAACGTGAATCTTCGCACTAAAAACCTGTATGTATCAGCACCTATTACTCAATAACGTATCTAGCTTTACAAGGCATAACAAAAGATGAGAAAAAGCAGAATCTGAAGAGACAAAGCAATCATCAGATACAGACTCAGATATGACACATGTTAGTATTATCAGACAGGCAATTTAAATAGCTATGATTCATATGAAAGGCTGCAATGGGGAAAGTACACAATATGAAAGACTAGCTAGGTAATGTCAGTAGAAAGATGGAAACATTAAGGGAATCAGAAAGAAATGTTAGCAATCAGTAACAGAAATGAAGAATGTCTTTGAGAGTGGGTGAGTATGCTTGAAACAGCTGAGGAGAGAATGGGTGAACTCTAATATTAGCCAATTTTATTTTTCTCTATATACCTGAATTACATGTTTATTTTATTATGCTTTATGATTTTCCAGCTTTATTGAGATTTCTTTATTGTTGTTCAGTCACTCAGTCGTGTCCGACTCTTTGCGACCCCAAGGACTACAGCACACCAGGCTTCCGTGTCCTCCACCATCTCCCAGAGCTTGCTCAAACTCATGTCCATTGAGTCAGTGATGCCATCCAACCATCTCGTCCTCTGTCATCCCCTTCTCCCCCTGCCTTCAACCTTTCCCAGCCTCAGGGTGTTTTCCAATGAGTAGGCTCTTCACATCAGGTGACCAAATTATTGGATCTTCAGTTACAGCATCAGTCCTTCCAGTGAATATTCAGGACTGATTTCCTTTAGGATGGACTGGTTTGCTCTCCTTGCAGTCCAAAGGACTCTCAAGAGTCTTTTCCAACACCACAGTTCAAAAGCATCAATTTTTCAGTGCTCAGCCTTCTTTATGCTCCAGCTCTCACATCTGAACACGACTACCAGAAAAACCATAGCTTTGACCTGAGCTATACTTGACATATAACATTGTGTGTGTTTTAGGTATTCGACATGATGATTTGAAATATGTATATATTGCAAAATGATTACCACAATAATGTTAGTCAATACATCCATTACCTCACACAGTTACCATCCTGTGTGTGTGTGTGTGTGTGTGAATGTGTGTGTGGTGAGAACATTTAAGACTTACTCTTTTAGCAATTTTCAAGTTTCAATACAATACAGTATTGCTAACTACAGTCACCATGTTGTACATTAGGTCCCAGAAAGTTAACTTATCTTATAAATGAAAGTTTGGACCCCTTGACCAACATCATCTATTTGCCTTACTCCCTAGCCCCTGGCAACCATCAATACACACTCTATTAATCCTTTTTTGTTGTTTATTTTATTTTAAGATTCCACGTGTAAGTGAAATCGTGTGGTATTTTTTTCTCTTGAGTGTATTTCACTTAGCATAATGCCCTTAAGTTTCATTCATGTGGTTGCAAATGGCAGGATTTCTTCCTACTTATGGCTAAATAATATTCCACTGTATATATCTATGTAGGAGTACCCCAGTGGCTCAGCAGTAAAGAAGCTGCCTGTAATACAAGAGACACAGTAGGAGCCATGGGTTTGATTCCTGGGTCAGGAAGATCCCCTGGAGAAGGAATTACAACCCACTCCAGTATTCTTGCCTGGAAAATCCCATGGACAGCCCATAGAGTAGAAAAAGAATGAGACAAACCTTAGTGACACACACACGCATATATATACATTTTTTTTCATTCATCATTGACAGGTTGTTGACATGTGTTATGAATTTGTCAAATTAACATTTATAAAGTGGATCACATAGACATGCATGTGCATGCTCAGTCCTGTCCGACTCTTTGCAACCCCATGGACTGTACCTCACCAGGTTCTTCTGTCTATGGGATTTTCCAAGCAAGAATAGTGG